ACATGATTTTTCTAAAATTGACCGTAATGAAAAAATTGTAGGAAAAGTGCTAAATTTAAATTTTTCAGTATTTTCGTTTTTAATGAATATCTATAGAAAAATGTTTCGAGGTAGATGTATGAGGAAAATGTATATATTTAGTTTATCCTCTAAACATTTATAGCGGTGCTGCAATAGGTTGTAGAAAATAACCAGAAAAAGCCTATAATAACTAGATAGGAAAGTCATGTGTTGGACACATCAGATTTTTTATTTTGTAATTTGCAATTACCCACCTTCCAAAGTATATCTTGAGAAAATATTAAAAATAATCTACCTACTAATAGACCACTTGCAATTGATTTAACCCATATTTATTCAATTTTAACGAACCTTTAGTAATGATTAAAATTGATTTGTTTGTTGAGGCTATAATGAGTACCAAAATGTCAAAATATTATACATATTTATACTACCAATATTTTTATTTTTATACTTGATTTTTTGCGCATAATGTTTACATTTTAGTTTGAGTTCTTGTTTTTCAAAAACAAGGTTTTTTTGAAATAATATTGTTAAGGCTTGATATGCTATAATGAGCATTAAATTGTCAAAATATTACAAATATTATAATTATTAGGTACATATTTGTACCACCAACATTTTTCTGTGGTACACATATGTACCACACGGTTTCTTACGAATATTGTTAAAAATTTAGTTCGTGAGTTCTTGTTTTGACAAGCAACATTTTTTGAAATAATATTGTTTGTTAAGGCTTAATACGCAAAATGTCAAAATATTACCCATTTTGGTAAATATTGGTGGAAAGCATATTGGTAAATATTGGTGGTACGTATTTGTACCACGAACATTTTTTGTAGTACGTATATGTACTACTCGATTTCTTGCGAATAATGTTTACATTTTGGTAATTTATTTCGGTAGTTTTTGAATTAGTATTGTTTGTTAAGGCTCGTTATGCTATAATGAGCATCAAAATGTTAAAATATTGGCCTTTTTTTTAATATTGGTGGTACATGTTTGTACCACTTATATTTTTTCTCAAATAAATAAAATGTAGCTCAACCAAACTTTTTTAAGAGCAAACATGACGGGCGCTCCTCCGCCAAAAATCAATTTTACATTTGAGGCAGTTAAAAAAATTGTAAAAAAAAATGATTCAGGCCAATCGTTGTAAAAATGAACCAAGAATTTCGCTAAACCGCGAAAAACTTATATTTTTAAAGAAAAACAACCAAAATTTCAACTTTTTAACAAATTTAATTTTTTGGCTCTTTACCGGCATTCTATAACAAATATCTTAACTATTTTCTAAATAACTTTTTTTCAAAAAGATTACCAATTTTAAACAGGACCGAAGATTAACATAGTTTTCATTCCGATACTAATTCTATTAAAACAATGATACCAGTGAATATGGCAACGCTGCTAGTCTATGAAACCCGTGGTTAAAAGGGTAGCTGCTGTTTAGTTAAATTTGTTAATTCCTGTGTCGAAAAATAGGTAGTTGTTTTTGAAGAGGTGCGAAATTATTGTGATCGTCTTAGTTTGTTGTTGAGGCGTTGTTAGGTTTTTGTTTAATTTAGTTTTTAGTTAATTTATGAAATGAAAAATTCTGGAAGGCAAAAATGCACAGCTGACAAATTTCTATTTTATTTGTTTGCTGCCAGAGTTAGTAAATCCTAGAAAAATACGACATGTGCCAATTAGGGAAAAGAGATTGTCAAGAATTTTGCACGCTTAAAAAAATGTGTAATATACAGGGTGTTTCTAAATACATGCGACAAAATTCAGGAACTGATTGCTCGTATGAAATTAAGATGGGTCTTTCCTATAACAAAATTTCCTCAGCCCACCCCTTTTCGAGATATCACCCTTAAAAGGTGGTGACTAAAATTGAGTTTTTATTTTTTTTCTAAAATTTCAGTAAAGCTAGAAACTTGAAATTCTGTAATCGCAAAGGACTAACCACGGGTATTTTTTCAATATTTCTGTTACATTATAGGGGGGTGAAATTAGCAACACTTACTTTATTTCATATCAAAACTTTTTTTCGAGATGAACTTTTATGAAATCCTTGTTTTATTTAATTTTTTTTTATTCTTGAATTTTTTTCCCAAAACCAATAGCTTCAGGGAAAAAAATTAACACCCTAATTTATTATTTTTTTTTTAATAAATTGAGTGGAAAACAGTGTAACGGGCTTGTAACTATCGTATCGTACACTCTGTCATTATTCGTTTCTTGCAATAATTTACACCAGTTTACACCAGAAGATAGCACTTAACGAAGCGTTTTAGCCACTAATTTTAGCGAATTTTAAGAAATCATTAACAAGACATTAAGAGCTTAAATTTGGCGATTATATTAAGAATAGTGCTGTCGAGGAATGCATTTATTTTCATTATGATATTTCAAAATTAAAGCCCTTTTAGTTTTTTTGGGAAACTGGAGGGAATTAAAACATTAAAATATATGCATATTATAGATATTATTGCCTAATTTATTTTGCCAAAATTTAAATATTTTGAGATATTCTTGTCCGAAAATTATAAGGGGTATGATCACCTTAAGATTGAAAGAGAATTAGCTTTAATTCATGAGATGCAAAGCATCATAATTGTCGCGTCACAAAAAGCACCTGCTGCCAAGAGAAAATTTTGATGCAACAGTATTGTATATTTTGTGTTGTAAAAGAGAAAAAATTAACATTTCGTGTTTTAATAGTTATTTTTTTAATTTAATAATCTGTGTGAAAAAATTTTTTTTTAATACAGACTTTAAAAAATTGTTATATTAATATACTTATTTAATTGTACTTATATTTGTTGTTCCTTTAATACAATAAATACAATTTACCTATCTCCAATTCATCACTTTCCGTATCCATATACCTAGGGTCCGATTACAATTAGAAAAACACCGCTACGTCATAACTATTATTTCGAATTTCCAATATACAGGGTGTCCCGAAATTAGACGGTCATATTTTAACAGCGTAATCTATATCCTACAAGTATTAGAAATTAAAAATTAAAAAAAACCGTATAAACTAATTATATACATTTTCCACATACATCTATCTACCTCGAAACATTTTTCTATAGTTATTCATTGAAAACGAAAATACTGAAAAATTTAAATTTAGCAATTTTCCTACAATTTTTCCATTAGTCCATTTTAGAAAAATCATGTATAAACAAAAATTATAGAGATCGATATCGCAAACAACTTTTAGTTTAGTTTAGAATTTTGCACATTTTGTCAAATTTCTCGAATACGAACCATTTCAGGAAATTTTTACATAAAGCAAAAATTATAGATAATAATATTAGAAGTAACTTTTATTTGAATAATTTTCTTCTCCAAACATAAATAACAGATATATTCAATAAAATATAAAAACGGCCTCCCATAAAGTACCCCCCCAGATGTTCCAACTTTGTCCAAAATCTAATCATTTCACGTCAGGCCAAAACAAAACTTAAGTTTTAAATTTAGTGTTTTTCTGTGTATTGGTTCATGAGTTATGGTGAATATAGACACACAGTCACACACGGCAATTTTACCCTAAGCTTCCCCTAATTTACCCACCTAAGAAGATGATCAATAACTGAGGTTTAGTCCAATAAATGAAGCGTAAAAAGGTAAGTATTTGTAACAAATTTTACCTAATTATCTTTAAACGTTTAGAAAATATTTACAAAAGCGTGGTATCAGGACTTCACCTTTAACACCCTGTATTTCGGAAAAGAAAAGTTTTCGGTTCTATGTTTATATGAACTTTTACTACTATTTTAGGATGTAGATTACGCTGTTAAAATATGACCGTCTAATTTCGGGACACCCTGTACATTATCTATAACTATCAATAAATAAAAAATATTTTAGTTGTTTGGTTTAAAAATAGTATTCCTACATTCGTATATTAACAAGCCACTAACCCCCAGTAGGCGGCGATAGCCAACGAATTATACCTGAATTGTAATCGGACCCTACAAAATATGATTATCCTTCAGCGTACGACACACAACATTGCCAAGTTTATGTAGCGAACAAGGTTCCAAATACTTTAAGGGGAGGTCGTGAGATTCGTGCGGTGTGACGTCAGAAGGGACTGGATTGCTCTTAACGCTTCAGTTTCCTTTAGATCTTGCCAGCTTATAATCAAAAGTATATTACAAAAAAAACAATAAATCTCTATCGTTGTCTGTAGGCTCTATTTTCTTTCTGGTACAAATATGTACCACAATATTTAACTATTTATTATCAGATGGCGCTAAGTGAAATCATGGTACATTTTTACATTTTTCCTTAGTACGCAACCATGATCAAAATGAGGTTTAATCAGATACAAAATATGGTACATATATGTACCAGCACTCGTTAAATGGTAAAATTATTGAAAAATTAGTTGGATTTTTACAGCTTTTAAAAAACGAGTGCCCCCGAGACATTTGACCAGAGAATTGTTATTGGTATATGTATATACATTGTTATGCTATCTTTTTCATCATTACCGTTGGCTGTATAAAAATGGTATAAAAGGCTATTATGAAAATTTAACAAGACAAGATATATCTTCTACTGGTAGACTATAAATTGCCAAAAGTATGTTTTTGCAAAAAAATGTTATACATTTTTGACACATATCTATCTTTTTTCTATATTAAGAATAGACATTTCGCTATCCTGCATTTTCAAATAGTTACCTACTTATCTTAGGGGTATACCTTTATATCTAAGATATAAGTTAATGAATCATAATAATCTTACTTTACCTATCAACTTAAAAATGCAGTATTTCATTTATTGATTAATTTCAACTGCAATCTATACCTATAGGTAGACGTAGATAGTAACAATGTTTATCCAAATCCACCTACAAAGTAACAAAAACAAATTTGATTATTATTATTGTTATCTTAAATGAATTTTATCCATATCAAAACGATAAAGGTGGATTAATTATAATTTGATTTTTATGTTTCAGTAGGTCGATGATATAGATGAAATAGTTTCACCAATAAATATGTTTTTTTGCGACCATGACACTCAGAGATACTTCGGGAAAATTCGAAAACATTTCTGTTAAATTTATCAAAAAGGTGAGTCATAGAATAATAATAATTTCGATAATGTACAGTGTACAGAGGTAGTCAATGACTGTAATAAACTCTTCGGAAACAAATATTAAGAAGGATGTTCTTTTTTATTGAGCCCCACTAGTAGCACTAGTAGGCCGTGAGATATGTTAATATAAATTTCAATATATCTAACATTTTGAGTTTGCCTTATATTTTGATGGTAGTATTTTAGTAGTAGTATAGTTACACCAATTCTATCTCAAACCTTATGTAAATTAACATTGGAAATCGATAAGATCCAAAAAGGCAATTTTTTCTATAGATTAAGTAACTTTTGAAAATCCAGTAACTTTTTTTGTAAGTTGGCAACACTGCTTTTCCCACTAGATTTTTTTTATGTTGGAAATACTGTTTGTTACCAGATTTAGTAACATTTCAAAAATCTAGTAACTTTGTTTCGGGTATAACGTCACCTGTTATTTATCACATATCTCGCTAAGATGGCGCCACCTGTTAGTTAGCAGCTGTGTAACTGATGCTAGAAAAATCTAGTGATAAAAGCAGTGTTACCAATCTACAAAAATTTACTAGATTAGGAAATTTAGTGGCAATATTGCCTTTTGGGACTTTACCAATATCACATGTTAATTTAAAGAAGGCTTGAAATAGAACCGATGTAGCTACACTTCTATTAGTATAAAGGCGTGCTCTTTTATTCAGCGCTGTATCCATCGCTTGCAGCAAACCGTTCCTAAATTAAGCGATATAAAGACGATTGTATGTGTCAATCGTTCTTTTTTCCAGCTGTGAGTTTACCAATGAGCAAACACGTCCATCGGCTTTAAAAGCCGATGGATATATGATGGATGAAGGAAGGGGATAGTTAATCAATTTGTTTGAACATGTGAACACGATTATTTAGATGAAAGTTAACCTACAATATAAGAGTTTAAATATAAAACGGCTACAGAAGAGATAAATTACTGTTAATTTAAATTAAAACTGGTTTAATTTTTAAAGCGATGTCAAACGTCAAATTTTTCATTTGAGAAATGTCGTTCGTTCTTATATTCAGCGCAAATACCTTCCACCAGAAATTAATCAGTGACGTCATGACATCAATCAGTGATGGAACAATTGTTGAATAAAAGAACACACCTTATCATAATCAGCAATGGTCAATAATGAAATATAACAGCCAAGATTTGGGTTAAACAATAAAATAATGTCAACTATCAGAAACGATTTTAGCAAATCTAATTTATTAATTTCTTTTAGCTCATATTCTATTCCTTAATCTACTTAATTGGTTACCTGAATTGCTCACTGACATGGTTATTTGTGCCTGCATTGCTCAGTACTCTTTCAGAACAGTATAAAAACAGGCAAAGAAGGAAGAGGTATTTCTCGAAAGAGGCAGCTTTAGGCAATGAAAAAGAGGTTATTCTGGAACATTTTGGAGAGCTACCCTCTTGGGTAAGTACCTACAGGTTTGATCGCACCCTGTATTGTAGATCAAGGGCGAATCATATTTATATTTGACGGAGTTGATTCATGGTGAAAAACGCTTGTTTAAAAACACATAATTAGGTATTCCAACGACCTGTCAAAATGTGACAAGTGGGAACTGACAGTTTAGATATGGCAACCCAATGAACTGGAGTGGGGTAGAATGCTTGTCAATAGGCTTGAGATGCGACTCTATGGGCAAAGACAGGTTATTTTTCATCTCACTCGGGAGTATTTATAACAACCATTTTCTATTTCACTTTGTTATTGTCTGATCCACCAGCTTGTGGATTGAACAATAACAATGTGAAACAGAAAATGGTTATTATAAATACTCCCGAGTGAGATGAGAAATAAAAATGGCTGCGCCCATAGAGTCGCATCTTGTTTTATTGATACAATATGCACATTGGCTTTCTACCCCACTCCAGTTCATTGTGGCAACCCTGTGGATCTGTTGTCACTGACATATATAGTTATATAGCTCAAAGCGGGTGGCCATATTACCTCGCAGGCGCTAATTAATCAGAATCGGTTTAGTAAAACTGTGTTTATAAACCAATTTTCAGCCTTTCAATATGTATAGTAAAAAAATAATTACCTACACTTTTACTTCAAGGTATAAGATTATGTTTATTTTGAAAAAACTTGGATGATTAATCTATTATCTATATATCTCATTGACCCTGTCAAATCACCAAGCCTACAGGATTGCCATAATTTTGCCATATCATAACCTGTATATAGTTAATAAACAAAAAATCACTCACGGGATACTTCAGGGCACAATAATAGGTACTGTATTATTTAAAATTTACATAAACGACCTACTACGGTAATATTTTGATTGTACTATGAGTTAAAAATACTAAATTTTTTACTCCTAATTTTGTTCAACTTGAATAATATAATAAGATCCAAATGATTACTTGGAATAACCGGAACATATATATGACCCTTTGACCATGGTGGAAGAATACAGGTGAAGCGGTAAGCGGTACGAAATTTGGTCATTCTTGCGCATGACGTCACCTGCGGAGCATATTTTTGTTTTGCCTATGTCTCCAATGTTAAAAAGCGACTTTTAAAGTTATTCTAATATTTTCCTGGTAGTGTTTAGAAGTTTATAGATATATTTATCTTAATATTTAATATCATTTCTATATATCAATAGGCCTGTTTAGAAATTATTGGTACGTATTATTAAATTAATTTCTAATTAAGTTGGTAGTGTAATTGATATAAAGTTAGGTTATGTAACATTTTTGTTGTATTTTAAAGATAAAAGAAATAGTTTATATTCATTATTGTTATTTTAATATATCATTATTATTATTATTATTATATTATTGATACATTAAAATCTACTATATTTTAGGGTGTGTAGTTACTAACAAAATGCCAGGTTGTGCAGTGTTTGGCAGCAAGAACTATTTAAGAAAAACAAAGAGAACAAATATTAAGTATTTTGGATTTCCGAAAACAGATATAGCCAAAGCCTGGGTCAACGGTTGAGGTGAAAAGATACAATTCATTTGAAAAATGGTATGATTTTTGCAAACCTAACTTGAATATGATTAATTTTATGTCTTGTTTCTTTTTTAAGCTTGTATTTGTTCCATACATTTTTTTCGAAGGATAGTTTTGAAATACCCTTACAACAGAGGCTATTAAACTACTCCACTAAGACTGGTAGAAACTTAAAAGAAACAGCAGTTCCTACTGAAAATCTCCCATTGAAAAAAAGACAATTGTCTGCAGAAAGTGAAGATAGATTAAGAAGGTAGGCAAAAAGATATCGACAAACATTTATTGAGAGCTTTGTTAATATTTCGGGGCATTCCAGACAATTGTCAACTGCAGACCAGGACAAGAAGAATCAAAGTTTGGAAACAGACACTCAAAATATATTGGTATCATCAGAACTAGAAACGTATGTACAAATTTACCTTATTAACAAAAAATGTGGCTTTGAAAAGAAAATTACACAACTTAGCATATACTAATTAACATTACAATCATTTCAAAACAATTTTTTTATTAAATATTAAACTTTGAAGTGATAATTGCTTTTATTTCAATATTAAAAATTAAATTATTATTTTAGAGAAAACTATTAAGAGTCTTCGTGAAGAACTAAACAAAATTACTGAAAAATGCAACAAATCAAATATAGAAATACTTTCATTGAAAGAAGAAATTAGCCAGTTGAAAAATAATTCTCAAGTGGAAATTCAGGAAAGTAAAGTAAATGTTTCACTCCGGGTCAAATAAATGTTTTATACAATGAAAATAAAAAAAGAATTCGTTGAAGTTCGGATGACATAGCATCCACAATCTCCCTAAGAAGCATTCGTCCTAAGGCTTATAGATTTTAAGAACTGTTCATTATCCTTTACCTGGGTTTACTACCTTAAGAGACTGGCCTAAATGTTTAAATTTAGAACAATAAATATACATTATAAAGTGTTAAGCAAGATAAAGAAGTAAACATTATGTATAAACCATTTTTAAACATAAATAAATCAATTTAAAATAACACCTCTGTGCTTTTTATTAAAATAAAGTATGTTTTGCCAAGTGTTTCTATTTATTAAATACATAAAGGGGTTTACCAGCACCCAACCATACAAGAAAGTAATTGATCTGAGCATACAAGTTATTGATATCCATGTTTGATGACTAATTTAAAATTAAATTATTACATTTATAATCTATAAAAGTGACCACATACTTCCAAACTGATTATTTAAGAAAATTGGCGACTAAAAAAATATACTGATCATAATAAAATTCATTTCACCTTAATTTTATTGTTCAGCATTCGTTAACATTATACACAAGTTTACTTGAATTGATTCAAAATTATTTATTGTTGAAGAATTAATTACATTCTTATTAACAAAGATAGATAACATAAGTTAAAATTCAAAGGAAAAGAAACAAACAAAATACTTATTCATAAATATAATATAAAAACAAAAATGCACAACCTAAGTACAAATATGACAATCGAGAAATATATATACAGGAGTATACACATAAATTAAAATGAACTACTTAATTCAAGGAATCAGAAAAATTTATCCACTTTGTAGTATACCTTTTTGAGCAAGAGTTTCTTGCTTTTTAAACATATTTAATGAGTCAGCACTTCCTATTATTAATTAATTGGCAAGAGGTTAAACATTTTTCCACTATACAGGGGACACTTCATATTTCAGTTTCACATTTAAATTAGTTATTTGTGTATGCCTTTTATTAGTTCCAATTTTTATCCCTGCTGAGCCACTAAAACTTTTTAATGGTAATGTCTCTGTAAGTTTAGGTACGTTTTGGCTATCATCTTGATCTCAATCTATCAGATAGCAATGCTAGGTATGAAGATTTAAATCCTAGATGTAACATCCTCTTCCAAGTTTTGTGATGGAAAAATTCAGTTTCTGATGAACACTATCTTTTTTACGCCAGAGAGAAACTATATTAGGCTAAATTCCTTACACCATGGCTAAATTCGAAATAAATTACCTACTTTTTTTGTATAAAAGCACAAAATATTTTTTTTATTTGGCATTACTTTTGTACAAGCGTCTATCTGCCTATAGTGACTTTTCTTGTAAGTATTATTGAGCATAACTTGATGTTATTTGACGCAGTTGTTATTTTCTTCTAAATATATTTTCAGTTTTATAATGATTATAGAACTAGGAAATAAAAGTTAAACTTCTTGACAATCATTACAAAATGTAAACAAAGCCATGGAATGGCATGGCAGTGTATAGGCGGCCGTGGCAATACCGATGTTGACGTCATAAAACCTGCGCACCGCTTCACCTGTATCCTTACACCATGCCTTTGACGGCTTTGGCTATTTCTGTAATACTCTAATAGAAAACAATTATACAAAGTTAATTTCGAGGAACACGATAAAGTATTAGGAACCTATCAGCTACAATTTTTTTTTATATTTTTACGAAAATTTAACACATTTTATGTATTGATTGCTTTTCAGACTTTTGTAAATTAAAATCATTTATAATAACACAAAAAAATCCAACCATTTTTAGTAATTTATTTACACAAAACAACGTATATGTATTATTTTCTGATAAAAAAAAAACATTGTAACAACTATTATTTTGCCGTAAAAATATTTATTAATTATACCTATCACTCGATATTTATTTTAAGACTTATAATGAGGTGAAAACAAATTACAATAGTCTGAAAGTATTGAAAGCATATACCTAATAATTTACAATAACTATTGTATTTGCCAAAATTACGTGATAAACATTAAATACCTTTTTATAAAATATGGCTGCTTCTAGTGAAGGTACTGATATAAAACAACAATCATTATAAAACATATTTTCAAGAATAGGTAAGAAAAGTAGGTAAATACTTACCTACTTAATTATTACAAGAATTTTGACATATTGCACCTAAAAATTCTAAAAATTTAATAGTACAGGATCTGAAGTAAGGTCGACCTTCATCCATCTGTTTAACGGATGAAATTTTTTTTTATTAAATAAAATATGTTTCTAAATACACCGCAAATGGGTTACGGTTACCAAAATACGGACACGACAATTTTTTACTTTACATTATATTTAACAATAATTATAACAATAGACAGTTTAATAAGAATTATAGTAATAGACAATATAATAATGATAGACAATATAATAACAACAATCGACAATACAGTAATAATAAATATGTAAATAATAACAGACAATATAATAATAGTAATAATTACAACAGAAATTATACAAACCAGTATAATAATAACGGAAGAAATAATGATTATGAAAATAGGAATAATTATGGAGATGAAAGAAGACAGAGAAGAAATTCTAAAGGAGAAGCATATAGGGGAAGAGAAGAAGAAAGAAGAAATAGACAAGTAAACTATCAAAGATATGAAGAAAGACAAGAGGGAAGCAGATCTGAAGAAAGGCGTAATCAGACAAATGTCAATTATACTGGAACTGATGACATACCAATTATACAAAATAATAAAAAATAATGACAATTTTTAAACCAGCACACACCGTATAAACAAAATTTGTATATCTATGCATTGGAAAATCCAACTGAATTTATAAATTTAAATGAAAATGTACAGATAGAGGAAAATCTTGGCTTAATCTTAATAAACAGTAAAATAAATAATAAGTCGTAAAATTGCTAATAGACACGGGTTCGGAAGCTTCACTTATCAAAATTTAATTGAGAAATGAAATATTTCTGAAAAATTATTAAAATTCCAAAAATAAACCTAATAGGTGCAAAAAAGTGTGAGGTAAATAAAAGTAGTATTATAAAAATTTATATTAACGAGGAAAAAGCAAATGTACAATTATTAATAGCTCCTAACATGGATACTTGTATACAGATCAGAAAAGCATAGAAATCATGATAAACGTTGTACAATTTTGGTCCCATACAAGATGTTCCTACAATGGACCGTATATGAGATATTTGAAGAAAAGTGCAAATTTATAATTTTGAAGACAACAAATGGATAAAGAGGACAACACCTGATTAAATTAAAATTAATATTATTAATGTGATGTTTGTTTACTTTAAAACAACAGTTTATTTATTAATAATTTATTTAAACATTTATTTATTTTAAACAATACTATTTTAATTTATATATACTTCGAATGTCTTTAAACTGATCACTATTTATATTCACCACTCTCTATCTACTAATTACTATTTATCTTCACTGTCCATATAACTACTGATAACTGATGGCTCTCCTCCACCAATTTATATACAAATTGGTGGTCTAGAATGCTCCCCCACCAAAATTGCCAGTATGTACCAGAAACGTTATCACGTTCTAGAAATAGTATCTTGTTGACCCTGGAATGTTCGCGAAAGTGTCTCCACCATAGTCGTCCCTAAGGTTTGGTCTTAAGGGGTTTAATTATGTATAATAATCGGACAAGTTGAGCCTCAAAGGCCAAATAAGACAGAGAGGGACTTATAGGGTTAGAGCATGACTGAATAATGAAATGGCTCACATTACATTAATAATATTAATATTATTAATGAGAATATTATGGAAAAAATGGCCTTTTGTCTAATTTTCTGAAATGGTATGTTGTAGCAATTCAGTCAAACCGTCACTCTGCCTAGTTTTGGAGGTACAGGTTGTTAAACATCAGAAATCCCACTTTTTATAACCAAATGTCTTACATCAGACCCGTTTGTTGTAAAAACATGAGTTATAGATTATTTGGCATTAATAGTTTATTAAATATCTCCAGTTTTGAAATGAAAATCTGCTACATTATACCTAATTAAAATTAGGCGAGAGTCTTTAAAATGTTGTCGTTTTAGAGCTGCAAAAGCTGTCGCTTGATTGTCAAAAGCTTACTTTGGATAGTGATTACAGAAAAACATTTTTTTTTTTACTTTTAGGTAGTTTTTCCGGATGTCGAACGCGCAGAATGGGTAAACAAAATCGCGAAACAATTTTGGCCCTTCGTAAATTACTACGCCCGAGATCTAGCGAAAAATTACGTGGAAATTAAGCTCAAAAAAAATTTGGAAAAGTATGGTCTCAAGGGCTTTCATTTCGAACGGGTCATTTTAGGCAGCACGGTAAGTATATTATCTAACTTAGTTAATTAATTAATGATTTTTGTTTATTTTAAAGCCCTGTAGAACTGGTGGAGTTGTGGTGTATGATAACGTATCTAGAGAGGAAGTTATAATGGATGTTGATATTTCGTAAGTACCTATTTACCTGATAACTTTTTAGTGTATACAAGATGTCCCAAAAAAATTCAGAATCCTGTCATAATAACTTCTGAACATATTTTATTTATGAATAATGTAGATTCTAGAACCTAAAAAGGACTTTAATCGTTTTTAAATATTCGATATGAATATATAATTTATTATTTATTATATAAATATATGAATATTTATGGGACAATCTGTATTACATTTCCAAATTACAAAATAAAGTCATATTTAAAGCATTATTTATTTGATTGAAACCTGGTTTGTTTATATCTGGTTTTAATATTATCTTTAATTTATATTCAACTAATCATTTTTGTTTGTGAATAGACCCATAAATATATTCGTAGAACTATTTATATATTGCAGGAAATACGTCAATTTGTAAACAAATTTCTTCATTGGAAAATCCTGATCAATAATCTATATTTTCATCTGTTTTATTTAAAATATACAGAGTGAACGTATAAAATATGTAAATACGATAAAATACGAATTTATAAAATGTAGTATTCCTTATTTTATTGGCCTAATATATTAAGGCAGGTAGTTATCAAAATAAGAATATCACCGTTGTTGTCACATGACGCACATTATTTTCAATTAAAACAGCACTTCCCCGCATCACATCTTGTTTATTCCTAATCAATTTGCCGAATCTGCACTCTACCTATAACTAAATTTTGTAGGTATATAGGTAGAAAAGCAGAATACATTGTTTTAAAATATTAACCAATAACGCTTGATCAATGTGAACTCGTTGACATTTTCTCTTTTGTTTTTAGATATGCTGGTGACTGTGATATAAAATTCCGTCTTAGGGGTCTATTAGGAGGAATAAAAAACTTTCAGGTTTAAAAATCCACTAATTTATCCTTTACTTCTATTCCAATTAATATTGCTTTCAGCTTTATGGAAAACTTCGCATTGTGCTCAAACCGCTGCTTCGCCATTTTCCGCTAGTAGGAGGCATACAAGTGTTTTTCCTCAACAATCCGGATATAGAATTCGAATTGGACGGCATAGCCGGAATCTTGGACGTGCCTGGCATCAAGTAAACAAACATTTCGAAAGAATTGCAAACGATTTATTTATATTTTGTTTACAGCGAATCATTAAGAAAATGCGTCTGTGATACGGTGTCCTCGTTAATGGTATTACCGAATAAATTTCCCATTAAATTTAGTAAAGAAATCAGTAGTGAACAGCTGAACACTCCCAATCCGGCCGTAAGTACTAATTTAAACGCTCTAGGTCGTCTAATCGACACTCTCGAAGTTACAAAATATCCCGAGGTTACTACAGAATCTCTTGAAGTTACTACATAATTTGTCGAGGTTACTACAGAATATTTTGGGGTTACTACAAAATATGTCGCGGTTACTACAGAATATATCGATGTTACTACAGAATCTCTTGAGGTTATTACAGAATCTGTCGAGGTAACTACAGAATATCTCGAGGTTACTACAGAATCTCTTGAGATTACTACAGAATATCTCGAGGTTACTACAGAATCTCTTGAGATTACTACATAATCTCTCGAGGTTACCTCAGAAACTCTCGAGGTTACTACAGAATCTCCCGAGGTAGTTACAAAATCTGTACCTCGAGGTGGCTACAATTTCTTTTGAGATTGTTACAAAATTTCTTGCAGTTGTAGATCTTTTGAGAAAATTACGGACCTTTTAAGGTTTCTACAAAAGTTAATACAAAATTACTCGTAGTTGTATATCGCTCGAGGGTACTACGAACCTTTCGAGGATACTGGGTACCTCTCAAAACAGCTACAAAATCTCTCGAGATGCTACAGCATTTTTCGAAGTTGCTACAGTCTCTTGAGGGCATTACAAAATCAATCGCAGTTGTTGTAGATTTCTTGAGATTGTCACGGAACTCTCCAGAATACAACGGGCCTATCAGTGCTGTTACAGAATCTCTCGAAGTTGTTACAGAAGTCATTACAAAATCACTCGTAGTTGTAGATTGCTTGAGATCTAAGGCACTTTTGATGATACCGCGAACTTTTCGAAGTTGTCGTAGATTTCTCGAAATTGCTATGGACCTCTCGAGGATTCTGCAGATCTCTCAAAGTCGTTACAGAATCTCTCTAGGTTCGTACAGTCTCTTAAGGTTGTTACACAGTCACTCGCAATCGTAGATTTCTCGAGATACCTACGGATCTCTCGAGAACACTGTAGACCTCTTAAACTCGCTACAAAATCACTCGAAATTGCTCTTCTTGAGATTGTTTCAGAATAATTCGCACTTGCCGTAAATTTTTCTAGATAGTTACGGATTTTTCGAGATCACTAAGGACCTCGCGAGGATATTGCGAACCTCTCGAAATCGTTACAAAATCTCCAGAATTCGCTACAGAATCTCTCGAGGTTGCTACAAAATCTCGAGGTCTTTATAAAATATCTCTCGTTATAAATCCCTCAAGGTTGGTACGTATCTCTGGAGTATACAGCGGACCTCTCAAAGTCGCTACAGAATCTCTAGATCAGTGTTTCTCAAACTTTTTTGAAAAGCGAAATATTTGACGGAGCCCTAATTTTACTTTGCAACCCCGGCGCATTCCAAAAAAAGAAAAAACAAACAAGGTCCTCAAGCAAAATCAGATCCTTTCTTAATGAAATCTAAAAGAAACAAAAGGTCCTCAAACCCGGTCCTCCCTTTTGTGACGAACTTCCTCATATTTTTTTTTATTTTGTCTATTATTTTCACGGAGCCCCACAGAGGCTTTGCGGAGCCGCAGAGCTTTGAGAAACGCTGATCTATAAATTACAAAATTATAATAAAAATGATGTAATCAAAAATAATATATTCGGAGAACTCACAACAAAACGAAGAATGTCATTTTTTGTAATGAGTTAAATAGACGATGAAATAGTTGAGAGTCTATAGCATAGGTGTGGCGGATTCCCGCATCACCAATTTGTTGCGGGGATCCGCTAATTTTCTGTGAGGATTCGCTATTTCAGTTCTTAATTTTATACCCAAAATGTAATTAATAGGATCGATTTCCTTGCTGACTTTTTATTTTGTAGTTAAGATAAACAAGTAACACACAGGGTGATAAAAATTGACAAAAAGTAAATAATAAATATTAACAGTAACTAATTAAGAGTTAGTGAGTACGCCACAAATACTCCCCCTCAAAAGAAAATAAAAAGTACTAATTAATTGCAAATCGAACCTGTTTCTGTTTTGATCCATCAGAGACCTCATTTTTATTTTCATTAAAAATATAAGCAGGTTTAGTAAGATTCTGGTGAATAGGTATCAAATTATTGTTTTGTTTGATATAAACGTGTTTTTCTGAGCCTTTTTCAACTTTGTATGGACCTTCATAAGGAGTTGTTAAACTAGCTCTTTTCCCGGGTGCTTTAATGAAAATATAATCGCACGTTTTTAGATCTACAGGTACAAAAGGTTCTTTAGAAATATGACTGCGTGTAGGCAACGGTTTTAATTTTTGAAATTGTTCAAAAATTTGTGTTACGGTTGATGATGTGTCTAAATGTTCATGTGCATTGGATGTAACAAAAAATTCACCTGGCAGACGTAATGCTTGTCCATAAACTAATTCCGCTGATGAATACCCTAAATCTTCTTTTACCGCATTACGTAAACCTAACAATACTACAGGCAATTCTTCAAGCCATTTATCGGTATTACCTCTTGCCATTAATGTTGCTTTAAGATTTCTGTGAAACCTTTCAACCATCCAGGCTTAACTGGTTTACCAGCAATAAAATTCATAGGAACAAAAAATTATGTACATAGCAGAAGCGATGTCATGGGCAAAAACAAGTTAAGGTCAGTGTACGATGTGCGTGAAGAAGAAGCAGAAAAAGGACACGTCACATGACGTTTTTCATATAATATTATCAAATAAATGTTGAGCAAAATGGCTATTTACTCATTTTCCTTAACAATCAATCCTACTCTAAGTGTATTTTGGTTTCGAAATTTAAAATTCGATTTACAGAGTTGATCTTCACCGTTTTTTGCTTAAGAATCTTCATTTTTTGTAGTCATATTTTGCAATCATTTTTATACCCGAAATTAATTTGCTTTTTTAAAAATTACGTCCAACTCTAAAAATTATTTTTTAATCTTGTTAAGAAAAAGATTTACTACAACTTGATAGTTATCGTTTAAAAAATAATGCATGTTTGGTAATTGTAGAACTCCTGACATTATGACGTCACCTTTGCATCAACCTTGTTACCTGAACATTGGGATAGGTAGCTTTGATGTAATGGTGACGGACGAGGGAACTTTGGGTGATAGCTATCAGAGTTTAGTATACACATGATATATGTCACCTTATTTATGCAATAAATAGCTTCAACAATAATGTTAATTCTCTATTAAGAGTTGTCAATTTTTTAGAGAATTTAAAGAACTAATTTGTTGAGGGGACAAGTCATTTTTTCAAATATGCTAACCAAGGGCTAGTGCCACTCATTCTCTTTGCACATAAAAAAAATATAGTATTATCTTTAAAATGCTGTCTTCTAGGATTAAAACAGAATGTCTATTATTAATAAAATTTTCTTGCTATTATCAGCAGAGCAATAACTCTTCAGTACTTTAACTAGTTAATTTACTTTGTATATAATACAATCATAATAAATGTTTAGACACTAAAATGTCTTGAGTAATTTTTATTGTTAATTTAAAAAAATGTTTATGAAAATTTACTAAGTTTGGTTTTCTCATTTAAACAATATGAATTTTCATTAATTAAAACTCCGAAACAGTCAAGAAATTATATCTAATTGGAAATAAGATTATTATTATGTAGTGTAATAATTTATTTACAGAAAACATTAAATTTTAATAAAAACACTCACCATTTGACGTTCCAAGTATTTCTTTCCACTTCTCCATAATATCCATTGTTTCCAGTAGATTATCTTGATTAAAACGCGTCCGGAAAATCTTCTATTCCCGTCGATATTAACGATCGTCGATCATATTCAATTCTATATCAACCCTTCGACACGTAAAAATGTCTCTGGGTAGTATATCTGCAGCCTTGTCCATTTGATCTTGGAAGGTACATTCTAGGACGTACATTCTAAGAACAAACGTCTTTATTGTCAGAGGTGAAATGAACATGAGCTCAGACCATTGACATCGTACTACCGATTAACTCGAGACGTTTGCGGCGATTTAAATTTTCATTACGGGAATTTGCTGAAAAGAAAAACAACAATTAGTAATGGGAAATTTTAAAACTATCAAAAGAGAGAATATTTATTTTTCTATAAAATAATAATAATGCATTTTCAATTAAACTATAAGTGGTCGCGTCGAGAAAATTTTGTTATATCACTGACCCCTCGTGATTTTCAATGAGGAATTTCATTCTGAACTGTTTCGCATTAATTTAGAAATGTTCAAAATTATTCAATAAACTTTAGATTTGAAAGTTGTGCAAATAAATAATATTTTTAAAAACAATTTTAAAATTTTTCTTCTAGGGAAATGTTTTTATTTAATACCTGAATTTATATATTTTTAGGTTTTTAATCTGTTTAAAATTAGTGTTTTTGTATTTAGTATATATTGTTTTATTCTTTTATTATTTACTTTTGAGAAACCAAATATTTTAATATTGGTTCAAATTTGACAGGCATTTTACTATATTGGAATGCATTGGATTTTAAGAACATTGATATTAAAGTAGTTAGGTTGGACCGAAAATTCTGAAAATCAATAAGGTTCTAAGTTAGAAGCAATTATTTAACAAAATGAAAACCGCAAGTCAATCTGATCTTGCTTTCTAAAGTTATCATGCCGACAAACATAAGCACAGATAACCACACTAATTGTTTTTGCATTTTTGGACTTAGAATACCTAATCGAAAACGTGAAAAAAGTCTTAAACAATGGGCTTAAGAACATTTTTTCGTCTACATGAATGCAATACTGAGGCCCTGTAGGAAGGGCCTCAGTAATTCCGATGTCCCTAATATTATACAGAGCTCAATTCTTAAACACAAACTTGAACATTAGACATAGTGATTAAATAAAATTTACCGATATGGCAACGTTACAAACTAAATTATTTTGGTTTATATTTTATGGAAGAAAATATTGATAAAAAGTTAGGTTAAATAGTCAAAATATCGCATTTTATTATAATATAAATAAAAAGAGCATGCCAAAGAAGGCAGCAAAGCACCTCGGTTTATTATTATTTTTTTTA